TTTCTAATTATCTGTGTAGCCCATGAGGTGGCTTACCAGGGAGATTCTAGCCTACGTCCATCCTGGGTCGGAGCTTCATCGCGTGTGCCTCAGAGAGCAGAGCTATCCCCGCGTCCGCCCAGGAGAGGGGAGCATGGCGTCTCTGCTCCAGAGAGCAGAGCTGTCGAGTCTGAGCTCACTTCCTCTTCCTCCCAGCATTCTGTTCTCTTTACTCCTCCCACCTATGTTTTAACTTATGAGGGCCAAGCAGTTTCTTTATTGCTTAACCAATGAAATCAACAGATTGATATATGACACTCCCACATCAGGTGGGCTTTGAGGTCTCCTGTGCTCAAGATACCCACAGTGTGATACTCAGTTCTCCTCTTTTTGCCTGTGGATCAAGAACTTTCAGCTCCTTCTCCAGCACCATGTCTGCCTGCACGCTGCCATGCTTCCCGCCATGATGATAATGGACTAAACCTCTGAACTGTAAGCTAGCCCCAATTAAACGGTTTCCTTTATAGGAATTGCTGTGGTCATGGCGTCTCTTCACAACGATAGAAACCCTAACTAAGACAGGAAGCAAGTAGGCTTAGAAGAGGCCATGGTAATGAGGCTCCTTGCTGGTGTTAGTGGTATTCTAAGAAGGAGGAAATCCCTATCTAGCACACTGACCCTATCTCCCTATGAGATGCTCTTGTCCATGCTTTGATGCGGTGCAAAACCCTCTCCAGGTGGTGTACTCCGAAGCTTCCCAGCCTCCAAATCAAATTCCATTCTTTACAAATTACCCAGCCTTGGTTATTTTGTTATAGCTACAGGAAGTGGGACGATGATGCAGCCTCTACCCTTGGGACTGTGCAGAAAAAAAAACTAATAGAATACCACTGAAAGGCTAACACTTTTAGTGATTGTTATAAGCAGGACAGCGATTTGTTTATAAACAAAGTCATAGAGCAATGAACTGTAAACTTTGGGCTGTCAATGTAGCTCAGTTGGTACAATTCATACCTACTGCTCTTAATCCCTGAGTTCGATGCCCAGCACTGCATCAAATGTATGTACTGGTACATGCCTATAATCTCATCACTTAGGAGGTAGAGGCAGGAGGATCAGAAATTCAAGGTCATCTTTAGCATGGCCACGTTTAAGGCCAACCTTGACAGATGAAACCTTGTCTCAGAAGAATATAAATAGGGGCTGGAGAGATGGCTCAGTGGTTAAGAGCATTGCCTGCTCTTCCAAAGGTCCTGAGTTCAATTCCCGGCAACCACATGGTGGCTCACAACCATCTGTAATGAGGTCTGGTGCCCTCTTCTGGCCTGCAGACATACACACAGACAGAATATTGTACACATAATAAATAAATATTAAAAAAAGAATATAAATAATCTCAACAGTTCTTTGTATCTTTTTAACCTACCAGTGGCAGACACATAGGTCCTTATTGTGGTCTGAGAAGCATAAGACAGAGGGTTGGCAGCAGCGAGGTTTGACACGCTGGCCGTCATTTCTGTTTTCTGATGATCTTTAACACCAAGAAGAAGTCTGGCTATTGAGGTCCTCTCCTCAGTGACCATCATTTAGACACAATGGCTATGACTTCTCCATCTTTTCTAATAGTTAATCTAAGAAAAGTAGCTTCTCTTCATTTTTCTCCCCAAGCTAACACCCTATCCTTTCGGCCTTGTCCTTTCTATCAGGTTCAAAGCAGAGCCCTGCATAAGCCTTGCTGTGACAGTTGCTCTTTCAGGAGATACGTGGACTGGGAAAGGCCAGCCCAAGCCATAAACATCTGAGGGCGGGTAGGAGACGTTGACATTCTGAGCCGATGCCAGTTAGGAAGTCCAGCTTTAGAGAGAAACAAGCAACGAGGTAATAAACACATATAGCCGGGAGTTTAAGGGACGACATTACAATGACATCCTCTTAAATCTTGCTCAAGGTCCATAAAGAAACTTCAGAGGGAGCTGAGTCTGGGGTCGTTGGCAGAGTTGAACAGTTATTGAAGGGAGGCAGCATCTGACCAGCAAGGAAGTGGAGCTAAACTAAGCCCCCTTTCCCCCACTGAAGCTTACCCACCTGGCTATGGTACTATCAGACTGCCCCAAGGAATGTTCTGGAGAGCTGCAAAAAGGTTAGTGGCCATGAATATCCCAGGGCATGGGGAGCACTCCAGGAACAGGCATGGGGAACGCTAAATGGTGTCATGGCTACACAGTAAATGGAGGCCCATCACCACTTAGGAAACAGGAAAACAGCAACCATGCCAGGCTAGCTCCCACCAGATTGCAGAATCAATAGTTCTCAAAGCTGGAAAGGAAGATGGGTACCCTGATATACAAGTCAAAGTTTCAACTATTCAAACTTTCTGGACAGCAACTTGGCAATAGATAACAAGAGCCTTAGAAATATTAAAACTATTTAGCTCCGTAATTACTATAATTAACACTTGTAGGACTTGCTCCAAGTGAGATGAATATAAAGATCTCCTTTGCACATATAGAAAGAAGATTTTTAAGTGGCTTATTGTCTAACATTAGTACAAAAGATGTTTATTAGTGGCTACAACTTAGGTATTTATAGGAATTAAAATTGCGGCGATAGAGTTCTTTTAAAGCCTAAAACAGTATCTGTATAAACTATTAACGTCATCACTCCGTGGTATGGTTTAAGAAAAGGTTTTTATTGTGGATATGAGGGAGAATGCAGTCAGAAGCATCTAGAAGAGTCTGGAGCAGGGAGAGAAGGCAGTAGACTGAACTTGACCAGCAGACTGGACCTGGCTATGAGAGAAGCAGGAGAGAGGGGGGAGGGAGAGGGAGAAGAGAGAGAGAGAGAGAGAGAGAGAGAGAGAGAGAGAGAGAGAGGAGAGAGAGTATAGCAGGAAACTATGAGCATAGAGAAAAGCCAGGATACAGCATGGATGCTGACGTGTGTAACAGGTACTTGTAATACAGAAGGAGCCTGGAGGCCAGCATGCACTTTGGTATGCTAATAGGCTCCACAGATACCCACTTACCTATCTGCCAGTGATGAAGAAATGGGTCCTTTGGCAGAGAGGAACTGGCTTCCCAAGTTCCTGAGGACTGTTGGCTTTTGTCTAACTGACAGAATTTGGGGAAATGGAGTTTCGTTTGGACCTAATAATATCAAGTAAAAAGCACTGTGGTATCTGAACGATGCATATACAAAGAGACATCGATTCCAAACTATAAATAGTGGTTCCTTCTGGGAGGGAAGGCATGGGGGATGTACATCTCTTCTTTACAATTTTATTCTCACAGTAGATACTGCTCTTCGAATCAACTAAGGGAGAGGAAAAAGCCCTGTGTGGAGTGGGCTGTGGTGGGTGGAGCATGTGGCCCTAGAGGGCCACTAGGATTCAGATCTGGGGGTCCAGGGGTAATGCTCAGCTCTGAATAGGTGGGGTGGAGAGTGGCGTGGAGACAGCTGCTCCTCAAGTTTGAAATGTGTCGCCCCCTTAAATGCTAGTTGATCAAGCTTGTCTTACTTAGAACAGTTCTCCAGTGAGTCTCTCAAACTTTAATATTTAACCCCATCGACTGGGGGCAGGTGTTTAAATGAGGACTCTGGTTCAAGATGCTCAGAGTGAGGCCTGAGTCTGCATCCTCAACACACTGGTAGATGGCAGAGATGCTGTCCAAGCAGGGCCACAGCTTACTGGACTACATACCTAGAGTCACATTTGATAGGTTGGGAGGCTTGTTGACCTGTGTTCTCTCTCGGGTGATGTTAGAGGGGCTGATCTGCAGGTCTCACATTCTAAGAGACTGGAACTTTTGCTGGATCTCACAGCCAGAGTTAACAATACACCTTGCTGTCACTTAAGACAGCTATCTAAGACAAGATCTCCTGAGTAAATTGGGAGCATGGGGACCATGGGAGAGGGTTGAAGGGGAGGGGAGAGGCAGGGAGGGGAGTAGAGAAAAATGTGTAGCTCAATAAAATCAATAAAAAAGTATTCATTCAAAAAAAAGACAGCTATCTAAGTATGCACTCAAACTATTTGTTTACCCTATTTTTAAAAGAACAGTATAATAATCAACCTTCCTTGCCTTGGATTTCCCACGCAATCAACTTCTACAACCTAAGCCAATGTATACCCGTAAATCTTAAATTGTGTGCTCTTTCATACCCCTGGCCCAGACAGCAACTGTGTATCATTTACTAAAAGCAGCAAATACAGAAGTTGAAAACAGCTTCTTAAAATCCACCATAAAAGTTAAAAGTAGTCATTTATGGATATTGGTTAATAAATAATAATGCCTGTTATCTGGTTGGTTGTAATCAGTTGGAGCCAGTGACTTTACCCTTGTAAAACTCTAATAAAGATTTTTGTGAAGTACCTCCGTTCCTTCCCCCATGCGATGCTTTCTGTGTTGTTCAGTAAATACAGAGCCAAGTCCTTTGTTAGGACAGACACACACTGATGGAAGACATAGACACAGCCACAGATTCACAAGAAGCCTTCTTCAGATAGAAACAGATTCAGGCTCACAACAGACAAAGGATCGAAGACACAGGGAGCAGGAAGGAGAAAATCCAAATCTGGACCCTTTTTTGGTTAAATGATATCAAGGGGGAAGTGCTTTCTTTCTTTCCTTATGGTGACACCTATGCAATTATTAGTGATTCAGAATTAATCACAAATGCATACAATCCAAGCAACCCTGGGATCCCTGAGCAGCCTGTCCCTCAGAAGGTAGCTGAAGGAGCAGCATGTCATCTTGGAGGTTTGCCAGACACGCAGATGACTAGACCCACCTAGGGAATCAGAGTCTGCATTGGGATGGGATCCTGGGGTGATGTTGTACCTGGTGCTGCGTGGGATACCTTAATCTAGAAGATACTCCCCACAAGCCTTGCAAGCCTTTCCATCCAAAACAGTCAAGTGCCTGCCCCTTCCAGCCCTTGGACATTGAACTAATAAACTTTCTTTCCCGCAAGTTGCTTACTTCCTTCTTCCCCTTATGACACATGGCTCACAGTTCAGATCGTGATCAGGTGGCTGATAGTTGTCTGTTCACTGCCTGGAGCAGTAGTGGCCATGTCCTGTAGGAAAGAAACTCCGGCGTCATGGAACAAACTTGGGCTTCTTACATCAATTCCTTAAATCAGAACTCCCTGCCCAAACGAGTGGAGGTGACCGATGGAAACTATTTTTCAGGTAGGAAAAAGACAGATGGAGAATTCTGGGGTCAGAAGAAGCACAAGCCGGCAAATTCCAAAGACGAAGGCTTCCTTATCAGTCCTGGTTGCGAGACTTCAGGAATGGGAGGGGTGTACTATCTAGATTATGTCGGGGGATACTAGGGTCTGGAGAATCAAGTATTATTCTACCAGAATCACCTAGGAGCATTGGAAAAGAGCGAAAAGCTGTTCCGTTTATGGAAGACATATATTTACTTGCTAAAGTATTTTCCTTATCCCCGGGCAGAATGGAATATACAGCCGGGCACCGCTCCTTGCTATGGGCTGTCAGATTTCCGCCATTTGAAGGGTTGCTTTATTTATTTATTTAACTTGACAGGACGCTGGGAAAGGAGGGAGCGATTCACCGAGATTGCCTAGGAAGGGTAAACTGTTATCTTTGAGCAGTGACGATTTTTCACGCTGCTGAGAAATGACTGCAATTTGACACATGAAATCTAAGGCACAGTTAAGCGTGAGGCTGAAAAATTGTCTTTTGTTGGCTTGATGATAACCAAAAAATTCATGTCACTGCTCTCCGCGTTTTCCCACGGTTAGCAAGCCTTCCGCCTGTGCCTCGGAGAGCCAGCTAGCTCGCTCTCTCTCTGCATTGTTAGAACAGGGGAAGTAGGGCTTGCTGCTGGAAACGACAGGGTGGCCGCGCTGCCCACTGGGCAAGGCAAATCATGATGGCTGCTTCTGAAAAAAGAATTATTTCGAATATTTTTAACTTTAAAGTGAATTACATATTCGGAGAGACTGAAGAGTCTGCCTCCATTAAATGATGCTGAATGATCCAATCAGTGGTCTTTGTCTTTTTTTCTGTATTCTGTTTGTCTTCTATGCCATATTTAACAAATTTTACTTAAATGTTTACACATTTTGCATAAAGTTTTCATTTACCTGGAGAAATACAAATCTCTGGATCTAACGGTCAGCCTTTAAGAGTTATTTTTTCCTTTTCCCGTGGCAATTATTGTCTTTCAGGGTCACTAGCCCACCTGTCGTTCTCCAAAGGGGATATCATTACGGTGACGGACCTCCAGCCGATCCACGTTAGGGCAGAAGTGAAGGATGGGGAGCAGGTTCTGGGCGTGGTCAATATACCTCTTGAATACAAAGGTACAGTGTACAAAACACTTCCTTTTCGCTCGTGAGAATTTTGGTAGAACACGGGTACAGAAGGGAGGGAAGGTCATTTCTGTCTAGTTTTGTCCACTGATGTCACCAAAGGAAGCCACGTTATCAGCTGGGTCTTGGGTGAGTGGGGAAGCAATAGGAAGCGGGCATTTTCCAGACACCATGCGCGGTCCGCTCCTGGGACAGGATTCTTGTGATGATGTTGACATCAGTCTGCAAAGCCTTGTACCCACACTCACTCTACGGCATCAGCTCCGTGCCTGTTGGAGACTGGGCTGAAGAAACCCCTTAGCTTTTCTCTCTTGTGCTGGATCTGATGGTGAAATGTCCCCATGCAAGAGTAAAGCGAGCATTAGAAGCTGCGGCCAAGACTACCAAGCCGTAGACATTAACAGTGCCCAATTGTGGCATTGTTTGTTTTGCTTCTGAGACAGAAAGAGGAATAAAAATACTCAGCCCTTATAACTAAGAGTATACGAAATAAACAAATCACAATCTGAATTACTTTGGTGGCTACAGTGGGGTCAGATAGGAAACGCCAAGAGACGAGAAACAAGAGAATGGGCAAGGTGTAAGGCAGATGCAGGTGGAGAAAGAGGAAGATGCAAGCATGTGCAGAGGTGATCAGGATTTAAGAGCCAGAGAGCAATTCTGCGCGGGCGTCAAAGCTCCGGTACAAGTGCGGTGACTTTCACCTCCATCGCTGAGATAGGGATGGTTCTGCTGGTGCTTTGGGAACACTGATGTCTATTTTGGATTCCCCCATAGCAGTTTCTCCGACGCAGTAAGCCAGACCAAGCAGAATTAAAAAGACCAGGTTTTATGAGCCAAGCCTTCTTGGATGCCCTTTCTAGCCTCCCGGGGAGGTGGGGGGGGGGGGGGCACGAATGACATGGCCGTTCTAAAGGGGATAGTTTAAATACCCGTAGGGCCTCTCCGGGGTGATCATGTGCCCCAAGGAGGGTTCCTGCTATGGTAAGCTTTTGGGCGGGGGTCTTCTCTCGCACCCCTGTCCTCCGCAGAACCAGGCTTGTGGGCCCCCATTTCTCTGAGGGGGTGAGGCTTGGGGAGGCAGGAATGTTGCTGAGGTAGAATTTCCAGTAGACACCATGGTCCCACGAAGGCCTTGATGAGTAATCTCTAGTCTTGACATCAAGAGAGGATCCACAGAGGTGCAAAGGTTGGTGACAGAGCAGACCGTGCTGAATTTTGAGCAAATGATCCAAAAGGCGTGTTTGATGACTTATTTATTAATACGCTGTGAGAAGGCTGGAGAGAGAACTCAGTAGTTAAGAGAACTTGCTGCTCTTAGCACAGGGGTTCGGTTCCCAGCACTCACAATGTAGTTCACAACCATCTGCAACTCCAGTTCCAGGGGACCCCATGCCCTCCTCTGTCTTCCTTTGGTTCTACGCAGCACATGGTGTGTAGGCATAGAGGCAGGCAAAACACCCATACACATAAAATAAGAAAAACAAGTAAATCCTTTTCAAAGATTTACCTAAAACGTGTAGGAATGTTGAAACCGTGAACGCATCACCAACCACACTCGACAGAAGTGGAGGAAACCAGGAAGAGCAGGATTCCCACCGGTGGCCTCTCCCACTGAGCACAGCCCCAGAGGCTCTCTTCTCTGGGTATGGACACACTTCCCAGCTCTCCCAGAGCGCAAGTGGGGACTTTAAAAGCAGGAATTCCCTGGAAAAGAAGGAACGAAAAATATCAGTGTTGCTCTTCAGGCTTCTGGAAAAGCATTTTTGGGACCAGGGTTAACTTCGAAGGAGTCTTCTGGAATGTTCCCCAGAGCCCACATCCCCTGGCCCTTCCTGTTGACACAGCCCAAGCTGTCAGTCTCCTCTGAGATGCAAGGTAGAATCCTTGCCTTTCTCTTCTCCATGAGTCCTTCTTCCCAGCTGAGGTCCTGAAAGTTCTCATTTAACACTGTGATTCTTGTAGCTTAAGAGTCGGGCTTGTGTTGAGTCCATCAGCTCTGGCAACCAGAACCTCTGAAGACAGATTTTGCGGGGGAGCTGCAGCTGGCAGGTGATAGGGCCTCCAGGCAACAGGCCTGCCCAGAATCCACACCCCTGTTTGCCCACTCCACTACTACTATGCCTAACCCTGTCCCCCCTCCCCGCCCCCCGGGAAGCAGGGACAGAAACTGTCCTAACACATAGGACTCTGTATGAGCAGCCAGAAGACCTGCCTCCTGGCTCAGGGATGTGGACTATATCCCTGCCACTCAGATTCAAAGACCTGTTGCTGTTGCAATTATAAAGGGAGGTAGAACCTGCTGGGCTCTAAAGGGCTTATCAGAAGCCAGGGTGGCTCTCTCTGCATGTTCAGGTGTGAGGTTGGCAGGAACAAGGAAGAGGGGAGATGTACGGGGTCACTAGGAAACCCCAGGATGGCCAGAAGGCAGGAAAAGAGGCACCTCAGAGAAGAAGGCTACCCTGGAGCTTTCCCAGTTGGGCCTGTGAGGGCACAGCTGGAATACACAATGAAGGAGCACCTTTGCTTCTATCACCAAAGTGTGAGCTTAGCCAGCTCACCAAGCCACCGATGGGCACACCATGCTTTAAAACTGCCGGGGATGGTGGTCCCAGTACCGCTCAGGAGGACCCTCAAGTGAAAACAGCTCCAAGCAATAGAGTTTGAAAATGAAGCCCTAATACTGCGGCTTTGATTGGGGTCTGTTGCAGATTGCAGCGCGAAAAGACGGAGAGGTGGAGAGAGTAGAGGGCGGCCTTGGAGAAGGCCAGGCAGAGCTGGACACCTGGGGAGTTACTTCCTCCTCTCGGGATTCATTTCCTGATTAGCATTCTACCATGCCTCTCTATTAAGGGTGGCCCAGAGGGTCAGATTAATCAAAGTGAAGCACATTCCTCTTTAAATTGCAATTACAAGCATTATTTGTGTTTTTGAAATTCATCAGTCACCATTCACTCCCCTTACTATTTTTACAGCATTTTGGTGAATGGAACAAACAAATTTTTCAAGGCCTTACAGGGTCAGCAGCCCCGTGCTACAAGGCAGAAATGGTCTCACGTTGTGAAGAAGGGAGGGAGGCGGGCTGACTGTGTGGCGGGTATTAAAATGGAACAGGCAGTTTCTGAAGAAAGCAACGTGTGATTTATGAGTCAGAGCTAAAAGCTGGTGTTTTTAGTAAACCCGCATGCAACAGGGGTCACGCACGTTGGCACTGCATTTGGGGATTCTGTTAAGGAGCACTTGCTAGTGCATTCTGCTTATTGGGTATATCAGAGCTGTGGGGTGGGGACCACTGTTTTCCATCCAGTTATACAGCATCAGGGTATGCATTTGAGAAGTATCTGTGGTGTTTTCTTCCTGGTTTCGATGTGTAGCCTTTTTCCTTAGCATAGCAGGAAACGGATATGGTCAACTCTGCTCCTGTCTGTTGCGGTGGTGCACACCAATAGTATATGTGGAAAAGGCAGAGGCAGGAAGATCAGGAGTTTGAGACTCAGCCTAGGCTACACCTTTTTGGCTGCAGAAATGGCTCAGTGGTTAAGAGCACTTGCTGCTCTTCCAGGGTACCCGAGTTCAGTTCCCAGCATCCGGTTTGGATGGTTTACAATCACTTGTAAGTCCAGCTCCAGCGAGTCTGAGTCCTTCTTGTGGCCTCTTCACACACCTCCACACACATACACATAACAGTTGGAAGAGGAGGAGGAAGAGAGGAGGAGGAGAAAGAAAAGGAGAGAGAGAGAAGAGCGAAAACTTCACACTTTGAGCAAAAACCAAAAAACAATTAAGTTGGAAGAAGGAAGATTCAAACATTTTCCAACATAAGACTTCCTAAATCTCACAATGTAAGAGAGGGCTTGGTATCACCATTCCTCCTCTACATGGAAAAGAAGATCTTTAGATGCTCAAGTGTCTTCTATAAAATGGCATGTCTACATGGATCCTCACAGCTATTTAAATCATTTCTAGATTACTTATTATATCTAGCAGAAAGTAAATGGTATATAAGTAGTTGGTCTGGATAGATTCAGGAATGATTATTTTTGTTTTGTTTTGTTGTTTTTAGGACAGTCTCGTTAAGTCGCACAGGTTGGCCTTGACCTCACTATCCTTCTGCCTCATCCTCCTGAATCAAAATTTTCCCCCAGATGTTTCTTATCATAGCTGCTTCTGTCTGGAGATACAGAACCTGCAGGAAAAGATGGCCAGCCATTTTGTTATTGTCTTTATCATGCTTATTGTTCCGAGATGTAAGGGGAAAAGTGATAAAATTGAATTTTAAACACTAGGCTGAACATCAGAAAGGTCTTCTTTTGAATGCTAAACCCTCTCTTTGTTTGTTTGTGTCCTCAAGGGTGGAAATTCTGACAGAGAAGAAGACAGGCACATAGCAACACAATGCATGCAGCATCCAGACACAGGCATGTAGGAACACACTGTGCATGCAGCACGCAGACGCAGGCACATAGGATCATAGTTCATGCAGCATCAGACACAGGCACATAGGAACACACTCTGCATGCAGCATCCAGACACAGGCACATAGGAGGGCTCTGCATGCAGCATGCAGACACAGGCACATAGGAGGGCTCTGCATGCAGCATGCAGACACAGGCACATAGGAGCACAGTGCATGCAGCATGCAGACACAGGCACATAGGAGGGCTCTGCATGCAGCATGCAGACACAGGCACATAGGAGGGCTCTGCATGCAGCATTCAGACACAGGCACATAGGAGCATAGTGCATGCAGCATGCAGACACAGGCACATAGGAGCACAGTGCATGCAGACACAGGCACATAGGAGCATAGTGCATGCAGCATCCAAACACAGTGGTGTTTCCAGACTCCTAATAGTTCCCTCTGCTGCCTGAGTTTTATCCAGAAGCTCATTTCCCAGGCCCAGATCTCAGACCCTGTAGCTTCTTGAAACCCGATACCAAAGGACTCTGTGTCCAATTCCATAAACTGGGAATATAGTCATTTAGGGGTA